TTTCATTACTGCGTACGAACTTCCATATATTTCCGTTCCTTATGCTTTCACAGATTTGTCTGACAATTCCGTATGAGCATTTCAATTTTTTAAAATTTCGTGTATTACATATGTGCGAGATCTGTAAAATGTGAAGAACCCGATTCGGGACGGGTACGAATTGTGCACAATTGCACAATTTTCAGAAATGTTCATACTGTACACCATCCGTGGATTGCAGACAATGCAAACAAAGAGTTCTTCCGAGACATTGTGAATCACGTGTCCTTTGTCTACGAATCTCGCAATATCTCCCACATTTCTGACAAGGGGACTATACGGGTCTGGGATCACGGATTTTGTTGAAACTTGGTACACTTGTAGTAGTCCACTAGGACAGCATATACACCTTCAATGTTGCCGCAAACATCCAGAGGTTTTCGAGAAAATTGCAAAAGAAGTTTGACGCGTCCTTATCTTCCCTTGCCTTACGACTATGAACAAGCAGTGGCGGCGGCCCAGTGGTTAACGTTCTAGCTTGGTAACCGCTAGGTCGATGGATCGAGTCTCTTTCATGTATTTTTTTTTTCTTCTTTTTCCGCGGAGCGATTACTGCAGCGATTACTTGTCTCCGCAGCTATTACTAGCGATTACTGGTCTCCAGTCTTCGCCACTACGCTACCGCCGTCGTTGAAAATTCGTCTTCCGTCTCCGTACTTGAACATGAGACATATATAGTTTTTGAATTTTTTTCACATTGACGCACCAATCCTAAAAATCTGAAAAAATTCATGAACAATCCTTGCAACAATACGCATCTACCATAAAAACATAAATCTAGTCGTCTCAAGATTTCTATGTGCAAAAATTATTTGTAACACTCTTTTATTTTTGACGGCTACATTTTCCAAGGGAAAAATATGAAAAAATTCTCAGACATGTCCAGCGACACTATGAATATGACAGAATTTTCTCAGATTTTTCGCGAGGCGTTAAATAAGGGAAAACCTCAAAAAACTGATTCTTCGAATTTTCCCGATTACTACCCCCCTGGTTGAGATATAGGGCTAAAAATTGGAATGAATGTTTCTTCTTTGATAAGCTATCGAATGGCGCAAACGGCGTTTCATTCGACTCAAGGGCACATTTGACCCCCTTATCCAGCTAGGCCCTTTGTACAAACATGTGAAGAGTGCAAATCCACGTCTACAATATAAGGAAACAATGATGGAGTTGTCTAAACAGACGGGAATTGGATAGACAACAATAGAAAAGACAATTTCGGAATATAAATCTGAAGGAAAAGTAACGTCGCCAAACAGGAAGAAGCCGCGCGTCAAACTTGTTGACAAGTTATGTGAAGAACAAGTAATAAATATAAGGAAAAAAGTCCACGATTTTTGGTTTCGTCGCGAAATTCCGAATGTAGCAAAAATATTGGAGGCTGTAAATGACGATGCGGAGCTTCCGTCATTGAGCCAAACGTCAATGTATCGCGTATTAAAGCGACTGCAATTTAAATTTATGACTCGCCGGCGCAATAGTGCGTTAATCGATAAAGATAATATTGTCGCCTGGCGGCAACAATATCTTAGTAATATTGCAGAATATCGATCAGAGGGGCGTCCGATCTATTATTTAGACAAAACGTGGATCAACTCTGGAGATTGCCACAAAAGAATTTGGCACAATACGACAATTACCTGTCCAACAAACGCGGCACAAAGGGGACTGTCCACAGGAATACCGGAACCTTCTGGCAAGGGTAAACGCTTAATTATTGGACACGTCGGATCATCGGACGGATTTTTAGGTGGAGCTCTCCTTTGTTTTCAATCGAAAAAAGAGGTGGACGATTACCATAGCGAGATGAACGGCGATACGTTTTTTACGTGGTTCAGGGGCTTCTTGCCCATGCTAAAAGATAGGGCAGTAATTGTTATGGATAATGCTCCGTATCACAGTGTAAAAGCAGAAAAGTATCCCAATTTTAGTTGGAAAAAGAATGATATAATTTCGTGGCTGCTACGTAAGAGGGAAATACTAGAGGGACACCACGTAAAGGTGACTTTACTCACATTAGTTGAAAAATATAAGCGCCCAGGCGACAATTATGTCATCGATGCATTTACGAGTCAATTTGGTCACACTGTGCTACGCCTCCCCCCTTACCACTGTGAATTGAACCCTATTGAAATGGCATGGGCACAAATAAAATCGTACATTCGAGCCCGTAATACGACATACAAATTGTCAGACGTCGAAAAATTAGTCGACGAAGCTGTTGAAAACGTTACCGCCGAAACGTGGAAAAATTTGATACGACACAACGGAGATAAAGAACAAGTTCCGTCAGCTCGACGATATCACGGATGATATCTTAGATGATGATGATCCCTGGATGCATAACGAATCCGACGATTCCGACAAAAGTACTGTAGAAATTGAGTAACACAGCCTTCACGTTCCTTCACGTTCTTCAGTTAATAATATATGTGCATATTATTATATATTTATATCATTACATATGTATATTTTGCGTATGTATATTGTATATATGAATATATGTTCCTTATATTTATATATAGTTCTTATAATCCTTGTAAATATTAAAT